GGGGGGGCTGGGGCACTCAAGCACCTTGTGGGTTCACGTACCTTGATGACCAACCCAGCATCCACCCCACGCATATGCATGAGCATCAGCATTGACTGCTCATAACCTTCATGGTAGTAACCAGCTATCATTGATTCCCTACCAGTTGCCTGGAAATGCGGGCAAACAGAGATTGGCAACAAGGCGAACCACCACACAAAGGCAGAGTTAACCACTGATAAGAATCAGACACTTTACCAACGCATGCACAGAAGTTCGCAACAGGCCTGGATGCTATCGACAAACAAAGAAATTGTGTCCTGGAACAGTGGGTCAGGATCTGCCCGGATTCCAATTATGATAAGCTTGACTTCTTGACCACCGTGCTGCTGTCCGTGATAAACTGAGAGCAGCTCAATGAACCCATTTGGAAAAATGGAGCCCGTTGCAGAGGCCTAAATGAATCTAGGCCAGGCACGCTTCTAAACATGCCCTACAGCCCAAATGTGAAACAGCTACAGGTTGACCGAGTCTTTGAGCCGGTTGGGTAAGTGCAGTGACGGAGATTCCTGGGTGTGTCGGTATGTTGGATGTGGATTCTATCCTCAATCATTGCTTTGGCGTTTATCTTGATGTGTGAAGTTACCTTCGCTCATCGTGTGAATGCGTCAGTATCCTGAATTGTTTCATTCACATCCTTCTTGAAAGCAGCTGCCTCCGCAGAAACCGGACCCCACCCTTTGGTTCCCTGTGTCCAGGTTTTACCTTCTGAGATTGTTTCTCTTGGGTTTCACAAACAACCAGACAACATTGAGAAGAAAAGACAGAGACAGACAGACGGACAAACAGCATAGGATTTGGCAGAAGGGCATAGGGGGTTGATGATGACATGGAAAGGATAGTGAACCAATGTTAGCATAGGACTCAGGATGCAAGCACGGAAAAACTGTCACAACAAAAAGAAGCCGGCTGTGACATACTTCCTCACCTAGTGAAGAATCCGATAGCAAGCATAGTTGGATTTTTGAGGGCCAACCAGGTGAACAAGCAGCCAGCTTGCAGTGATTTCGATGCCAACCTGCAGAGCGCTTGCACTGGGCATGCACATTAACCGGCAGTTGACCTGCAAGCAACCTGCAATTGACTGGAAATCAACCATCTAGGATCTCCTTGCATTATATGTCTATCAAGTGCATTGCAATGATCCCACACTTCACACACGCCTTCACGGTCACGAGTCACTGTTCTTCACATCCAACCTTGCACGCAAGATGAGAACACTTTGGAGATCGCTCGAAGTTCAAGTCTTATACAATGCTGCATGTATGCACCCGCTTGTGGCTACGGCCACCAAAGTTTATACTCAGGCAACTCTCTCTCTCTCTCTCTCTCTCTCTCTCTCTCTCTCTCTCTCTCTCTCTACTGGGCAGCTCTGTTTGACAATATATATATAATATTGTCAAATAAGTTGAAATAACTGTGAACTAAAAGAGCGCACTTTGCGAAAGAAAAGGTAAGGATTAAGGGCTAAAAAAAAAAAAAAAAAAAAAAAAAAAAAANAAAAAAAAAAAAAAAAAAAAAAAAAACATGAGGGGCACTGAAACCGTTTATTTTTATCATTCTTCTTTTAACTCCCCCTTCAGTATGCCTCTCACATACAAGGCTCGCCACGTTGACGAAGTTGAGCGCGAGCCGCCCGCATCTCCGTGTGCCATAACGACCCACTTGTACGCTGTGAGAAAGAGGCAGAGTAAAGGGGAAGGTGATAAGCACAGGGAAGAGAGGTGAAGAGAAGACAAACAAAGAACCAAAAGGGAAAGTACCGAGTGTGAAATGAAGATGAAGGCAAAGGAGAGGATAAGAAAAGCTCAAGAGTGAGTCTGTCCTTCATAACAGAGAGGACACACATTGTAAGGATGACGTGGGTAAGCACATGGAAGACCTAGCTGAGCATCATCAGCACAACAATTGCCACAACGGCTGGCATTGAGCATGCCCACCATACACTCCCGACAAATGGCATGTCGATTGCAGGCCAAAATGAAGGAAGAACGGTCACCACAAAAGACCATGCATTCAGTATAGCGCCCATGGCCGCAAAATGGACATTTAGTGTCCGGATGCGGAGGGTGCCTGCAGTCAGGAACGGAGGAACAGTCCTCTACACACATGGATGCAGAAACCATCTGATTGTAGTGATTGTGACAGAGACGATGGCGGCTACAACCGAGTGTAACGGTGTCTGTAGCTATGCAAAGGAGAAGGTCGCAGAGTGTTGGTACATTGTCCTGCTGGAGCACGAGGCCAGAGGAATGATGATCTTCGACATAAAAGAGATTGCGGACAGTTTGGTGCGGCAAGAAAACAACATCATTACGTAAGAAATCAGTAACATCAGTCATGGCATGGACCATGATGCCGTTGTCCCACAGCTCCCAGTGGTCAGAGGCATGTAGGATGGCCATGTAATGGCCAGGTCCATTCACAATGCATGTGGATGGAGGATTAAACCACTCACCTGCTCGAGCATTGCGTAGTTCGAGTTGGCGGTCCCTCATTGCTACTTGTAGGACAGCAAAGGTAAAGCCTCTTTCCCTGGTATAATTACAATCCTCTGGCGGTATGTAGGGGAGAACAGCATCAAGCTGAAGGGCGATAGGAAGTCTGATGGTGTATGCGTCTGTGCTGGCGGTGGAGAATGTGAAGACAAATATTAGTTGCAGTCAGAGGTGAGGGTCTCATGCTGGTGTGCCAGATGCTGGCCAACGATTTGCAGATCACCCAGCTGGTTTTCCAAGCCCAAAATATCTTGGGTTGTTTGCTGGTCAGTCATTTGCAGATCACCCATGTGGTCTGCGCGTGGCGGGGCACATATTTGCGGTTCATCCAAATGATGCTGGTCAGCCATTTGCAGATCCCCCATGTTGTCTACGCCTTGTGGGGTTGACTGCAATCAGGGCAGATCATGTTCCAATCCCTCAACGTTTGGGGCCGTATCTTGAGCAGGGACTGTCTCAAAAATCGGGAGTGTACTCTGGGCAGGGACCACATCCTGTTGTACAGGTGGAACATTTAACGCTGAAGGGCATAAGACATGGTATCGTGGCTGCCTGCAGGCAGCTGGACTGTCTGCGGAGGCATAAGAGTGGATATTGTCGTTTGGAACAAAGGAACCCCAACAACCTGTGGAGCAGGCACAAAGAGAATTGGGCCAGACAAAGAAACAGGCTGCTGATACCCGGACAAGTGACGATGCCGCAGATGTCATGGATGATACACAATAAGGGGAGTAGTGGTGTTGCAAGCAGAAGATGAACATGTCCCTGGCAACGAAGGTGGAACAATGGGAGCACTGGAAACCAGAGAGTCTGTTCGCAAGCGAGATCGTGGAGGAGATGGGGGTGGCGAGGAAGAATGTCTGCGGCCAAGCACAGAAAGAGATGAAAGGGAGGGGGATTGGGCAGGATTTCGAAAAAAAGGACGTGAGTTTCGGAGAGACTGTGATGTTCTTTGTGCTGGAGCCAGAGTGAAAGTCGGAGTTGTAGAAAGTGTAGCGGTGGAAACTGCAACAGTGGAAACCGCGGCAGTGGAAACTGCAACATCATAAATTATTGCAGCAATGGGAACTGCTGTAGCAGAAACTGTTGGAGTGAAAACCAGAGCTGAAGAAACTGCAGCAGTGGAAACCGGAGCAGTCGAAGCTGTAGGAGCCAAAACTGCAGCAGTGGAAACCGCAACAGTGGAAACTGCAGTAGCAACAAATGAGCAAGCAGGAGCAGGACAAGGGCGACGCGGGGGCAAAGAAGAAAGTGGATGATACAGGGATCATCGCAGCATGCATCGAAACCACTGAGAGAGACACATCTCATGAATGGATAGCGGCGCTTGCAGGAGCGCATGCAGCAGGTCTACCCTTTGGCAAGGGTTGGTGGGGAATGCCCACGAGAAAGCATGCGATGAGCAAATGTTGTTGCCACAATTAAAAAATCTTGCCAATTGTTGCAAATTTGTTCGAATCTGGTCAATTGTTCAGTGAACACACCGGCCGGTTGATGGGAAGGGATGTTGGAGGTCGCACTTGGATAACGAATGACAGGGAAATCCCAAGCAGCCGCTTTATCAAACACGCTCATGCGAAGCGAACCATCAGAACGTACTCGTAGATGCATACCTAAAAAGGTACACGACCCATCTGTCGTTGTAGTTTCCTTCCACTCAAGCCCATAGTGCTCCGAAGGAGGAGGTAATTACCCCCATGAAAGAACATCATCAATGAGGCGGTAAGTGAAGGCGTATCGCTGAGCAGCTTGGGGATCATGTTGACGAATGTCATCAATAAAGCGTGCTTCATCCCAATACAATGTCAGATTAGAAATTTCTGGGCCAACATTTGTTCTCATTGAAATACCGATAATTTGCTTTTGAAGTGCGCCAAGTGCGCCATCTCTAGTGTACAAAAAAGTGTTTTGTACAACAAAGCGAAGATGTTGGAGAATCTGAGAAACGGAAAGGGTGTCCGGGCCTGAATCGGTTGTCCAGTGGCCACAACGAGGTCCTCAAATAGTCACGTTCAGGACACTGCAGCGCAAATGCATGCGAGTATGCCGAAGGGCATAAGCATAGGCTTCATCAATAACTTTTGCCACACTTTTCAGAATGTGGTCATGAGGGAGGTTGGTGAACATTATGTTAAAATCAACAGTGCGAGGAGAGAGGCCACGAAGTGACGCTGAATTGTTTTTCAGGTCAATCACCACTTCATCAACACTCTAAACGATCCAGCACCGTCAAACAGAACACGCCAGCCTAAGACCCTCACCAACCTCTGTGGTCTGACTGCAACTAATATATGTCTTCACATTCTCCACTGCCCGTTTTATACACCATCAGACTTCCTTGCTATCGCCCTTCAGCTTGATGCTGATCTCCCCCACGTACCGCCAGAGGATTGTAATTATACCAGGGAAAGAGGCTTTACCATTGCTATCCTACAAGTAGCAATGACGACCGCCAACTTAAACTACGCAATGCTCGAGCAGGTGAGTGGTTTAATCCTCCATCCCACATATTTGCCTGCATTGTGCACGGACCTGGCCATTACATGGCAATCGTACATGCCTCTCACGACTGGGAGCTGTGACCTAGCTGAGCATTATCAGCACAACAATTGCCACGATGGTTGGCATTGAGCATGCCCACCATACACTCGCGACAAATGGCATGTCGATTGCAGGCCAAAATGAAGGAAGAATGCTGACCGCAGAAGACCATGCATTCAGTATAGCGCCCATGGCCGCAAAATGGACATATAGTGTCCGGATGAGGAATGTGCCTGCAGCCAGGAACAGAGGGACAGTCCTCTACACACATGGATGCAGAAACCATCCGTTTGTAGTAACTATGACAAAGACGATGGCGGCTATAGCCGAGTGTAACAGTGTCTATAGCTATGCAAAGGAGAAGGTTGCAGAGTGTTGGCACATTGTTCTGCTGGAGCACGGGGCCAGAGGAATGATGATCTTCTACAGCCAAGTGTAGCAGTGTTTGTAGCTATGCAAAGGAGAAGGTTGCAGAGTGTTGGTACATTGCCCTGCTAAAGCACGGGGCCAGAGGAATGATGATCTTCAACATAAAAGAGATTGCGGACAGTTTGGTGAGGCATATATACATATATATTCTACTCTACTCTCCAACAGGCCTCGTTCACACTCTCTGAGCGTCCTTCCTCAACCTTGCTCTCTCTTTCTATCATCCATGGCGCCAGGTGCTGTCAACCATACTCTTTGTCTCTCACCCTCACTTGCTGCTTCCCGCACAAAACTTCAACAGTGCATATGCGTTAAGCATGCATGAACACTGTGTTGCCGTTCTGCTGATGACGGCCTTATGTACTTGCTGCAGTTCCCCATTTTGGATCTTCCCAGACTGGTACCCTATCGCCTGCCGGCCATGGTCTGTTTCCAACACTTCTGGAATGTTCAAGGACTTTCCTGGGACGGAGCTGCTTTTTGGACTGACAGACTGACACCTGCCGGCAAATAACGAACTGGGCCTACCGGAGTGCTTCCCTACGATCTGTTTCAGACAGACCTGCTGGGCCTACCTGCTACTGATTGGATGCGCCTAGGACTCCTAGCGGCTGGGACTATGTTACATGGAGCCCTGGGGCTTGGAACTGGGACTGGGACTTCCAGGATGCAAGAAATCCTTTCAGGATTCACAGGGAAGGAAACAGATTCAGTGTACCTTTATAAAGCGCTGAACCTTCTCCGTTGTTGCAAATGCTGGCCGTTTCTTGATATGAACTCTCAAATCACGCGTAGCGTACCTGCGTCATGCACACAAAGAGGACACCATCAGAATACACCAAACCTCAGCTAACAATTGGAACAATTGGGTGAATCAGACAAAACCACCTTGCAGTTTGATTATTCAGCTCGCACGACTGAGGAAAAGTCCCTGTCAGGACTCAACTTGTTGGCAGCCACCAATCTTCCCACATACTGCGTGCTTGCTGAGCTGATCACTCTACAAACAAGTGTGCAAGTCAATTCCAGCACTCTCCAGTTCACTGGCTACGAAAGGAAGCACTACTATCACCTGTGGTACTATGCGGCAGCTAATGGCGCCAGTGTGAAGAGGCCTCTGGGAGCATGCTGAAGATGTGAATCAGCGTTAAAGAAGTGGGGCAACTTGAAGCTCAGGAAAAGAGGTTTGGCTATTGCGACAGGGTAAACTGGAAAATGCTGTCAAAGTTTCTGTTCCTGGATGTTGACAGGAGGGGTCCTTGGTGGACGGAATGAGCTACGTGTATTGTTCAAAAATCCCCCAAATCAGCCTCAAGCTATCCCGCCATACGGGCAGTGAAAACCAGAGTTGGCCGTGTGTGGTTTGTGTGTGTTTTAGATTTTCAACACGACATCCCCTGTTCCACCCCCAGATTGGTAGATCCAACGTCCAAGCAGCTTCCTTTATACTCGAGATGAGCCAGTACAAGCATGTGTTTGTGTGTGTTTTGGATTTTCACCACAGCAGGCCCTAAAACAGCTAGATGGGTAGAACCAAAATCAAAGCAGCCTTAAAAGACTCTCTTTTTTTTTTTCCTTTCTTTTTTGGGAAAATTTTCGAAATGCCCCTGAAGTTTGCGCTTATTTGTGGCATGCCCCTCTGACGGCCGACTTACCTTGTCGCGCCCCTCTGACGACGAATGATGTTTCCAGAAAGCCCCTGGTGTCGTTTGGACCTGAAACATGTTTCATATGCCCCTACCGGTACCAGTACCAAATTTTCAGTATGCCCCTACCGGATGGCCGTTGAGAACCAGCACAAAAGTTTCCCATATGCCCTTATTGGTACCGTCCATCTTTCCAGCGAGCCCCTGTGACCGTTGTTGACATTCACAGTCTTTCCCCTGGTCCCGGCTGAGGTGCTACCTGTGGATATCAGAAATTTAGCGAGGAGCATGGACACACACACACAAGCACACACACACACACACACACACACACACACACACACACACACATATACACACACACGCGCACACTGCGCGCACACACACACACACATATACAGACGTGTGCGCGTGCTTGGGCGATGACGCCAAGAAGATGGCCATGGTGATGGTTAGGAGGTCGACAATCGAGGAGGAGGAGAGGGAGGGGTGACAAGGAGACAGTTGGAGGAGGGAGGAACGAGGGAAGAGGAGGGGAAGATGAGGAACGAGGGAAGAGGAGGGAAGAGGAGGGAAGAGGGGGAACGAGGGAAGAGGAGGGAAGAGGAGTAGGGAGGACAAGGACTATGACGATGACGGACGAGAAGGGAGGAGGGTGATGAGCATGGACACACACACACACACACACACACACACACACACACACACACACACACACACCCCGAATGACTAAAAAACGAATGACAAACACCTTCGCTTTGTCATTCGTATACCACCTGTCCAACCAACAACTAAACGAAAAGATGACGCGAACACACCCACCCACACACACACACACACACACACACACACACACATACACACACACACACACACAACAGACACACACACACAACACACACACACACACATATGCAGACGCATGCACGTGCATGGGCAATGACGCCAAGAAGACGGCTATGGTGATGGTAGGAGGTTGACAATCGAGGAAGAGAGCGAGGGGTGACGAGGAGAAAGTTGGAGGGAGAAACGAGAGAAGAGGGAGGGGAAGAGGAGTAGGGAGGACAAGGACTCTGACGGTGACGGAAGAGGATAGAGGATGGAGGCTGGGCAAGAAGAGCGGAGAGCAACGAGGATGGAGGAGGAGGAGGGAGGAGGGCGACGAGCATGGATGGAGGACGAGGGAGGAGGGCGATGAGCATGGACACACACACGTGCGCGCACACGCTCCCCTTCGCAAGGTAGCTGAATGCGCTCCAACGCATCGATCACCGATGCGGCTAACTCGAAGACTCACTGCTGCACCGTTTTTCCGTGGCGGCGCGTGAAATGCCTACCACTTCGAATTCGAATTCCTGCCGCCACTGCTGCAAGGGCATCACAAAAAGATGTGTGCCCCTCGTGAGGGCATTTCAAGGACGGACCGACGAAACACGACCAACGGTCCAGTAAGGGCATATCGGAAAGTTACGCCCCATGCTGACAGAGGCCTGCCAAAATTTTCAGAGGCCCAAGGGGCACCACAGGGTAAGTCGGCCTTCACAGGGGCACGATGCAAATAAACGCAAACTTCGGGGGCATTTCAAAACTTTTCCCTTCTTTTTTTTTGAAATTCTCGGCCTTTTGGCTAAGATCAAGTGTAGTATCTTTTCTGATCAGTTTAATATCTGATCCGTGGTCCATCGGACCA